GGGTTTGTGAGGAGGCCGTTCATGAATGGTGCGAATAGAAGAACGAGAGCGAGTGCGTGGGGGGACAGGACAAGTATTTTGTGCTGTGACTCCAAGAATGCTGCGAAGAGCTGGAGGAGACTTGTGGGCTTTCAACACATAGTATAGGTAAGGCAGGGTATCAGTGTGGGTATAACCCCAATGGTGATTCCATAGTGCATGGTGGTTGAGCACATCAGCGACGGATTCATGAGGACGAGTATAAGTGGGACTGTCCAAATGGGTAGAGAGGTGAAACAAATACCAATTCTTGCAACAAATTGCCAAATTGTGGGATGATTTGTCCACAGGAACAATGGCAAAGTGTTGTTGCAAATATCGTCACAAACAAAACTGCCCGGTAAACCGTAGGCAGAGAGAGAGAAGAGGACAACAAACGAGGGGCTGTGACATATATATATATTTTTATATATATATAATATTATATATATTTTGTTGTTGCATGGGTCCTGGGGACCATCTCACACAGATGTGTACATGTCATGCATCATCTTCACACGCAGTGATCAATAGTCTCAACCATAGACAAAGGTAGAGAAGAAAAGAACCGAGTCTCACAGCTTATATTATCAGAAATATGATTACAAAGTGCTTCAAAGTTCCCCTGAGTCCAGCGCTCATCAGCGCAACCCAAATCTCTGCTCAACTCATCAATATGCCTTCCAAGGCATCGGCGCTACCTCTGCAGATTGTCTCCTAGTCATCAATATGGTCACAACTCATCAGCGCCAACTCTGCAGTTCACAACCAACTCAGGTAAGTGTCTCCCATAGCCAAACCTTGAATGAACACTCTTCGTCTCAATCCTACGATGCATGCACACACTGTTCTCTCAAGGATCTACTCTGGATACCACTCATAGCTAGGTACTAACCCTTGTACTCTACTTACTAACTCGCTGGGCAGCATGGCTGCATCCCTTCCAGTGCACAGTCTTCTTCTTCCCTCTTAGCGCATCTTCCTTCCTCCAGCGCTACTCCTACTGACTAACGCACAAGTGCACCAGCACTTCCACGCATTCAAGCCAGTGGAGATCTGGCGAGGAATGAGGCTGGCAGCTTTCTTTGTAGTGCTGGCCACTCCTCGCTGGGTCTGCATTGGCTCAATTCAGCCTGTCCTTTGTCCCAGACCCTGCATTGCATGTGTCCCAATGTAGTGCCAATGAGGTTCGACTGCTGCTGAGGCCTCTCGGCCTAGATTTGGATTTCAAAGTCTGGATCTGGACTGACCCCTTGACTTAGACCAGAACTGGGACTGTGCCTATTGACTTTACCTTCGGACAGGCACAACTCTAAACGAACAGACACATTCCTTTGCATGAACAGGTACACTGGTACACTGTCTGCACGTACAGACACACTCTTACCCGAACAGACATGACATACACAGCTCCTGGTGAACAGGTAAGTCCTTTGACAATGCCCTTTGCCTTAGATTTAGATGTGCCTGTTGATAGAGAACTTGACCTTTGACCTGCTTTCACGTTTCTGAGCTCTGGCGAGATACAAGTCTTTTGACAATGCCCTTTGCCTTAGATTTAGATGTGCCTGTTGATAGAGAACTTGACCTTTGACCTGCTTTCACGTTTCTGAGCCCTGGCAAGATACCTTTTCACAATGCTTTACTTTTTCAAGGCCCGTGCTGCTTTTCTTTTACAAGGCCTGAGGCCTGCATCGGGTAAAGACCCTTTTATTGTCCTCTTCTCTCTCTCTGCCTACGGTTTACCGGGCAGTTCTGTTTGTGACGATATAGAGGCTGCCCCCTGACACTCTGCGCAATCTGGAAGAAACGCTGCAAGCAGAGAATTGCAGCACAAACGCCGCTGGCGGCTGAAGCATGGGAAGGACTAATACAGACCCTACGAACAGAGTACCACTCGGACCGGCGCAGAGCACGAAAGCACATCCAAGATGACCCCACCAAAAAACAAGGACGTTGTCGACAAGTTCGCGCTGGGCAACGGCAAATTGGGGAGGACCATAATGGGCAACACTGTCAGACTCGCATGGGGGATCAGCAGGACCACCAGGAACACAATGACCACAGGGCAAGCGCCTCCTCAACGTCCCGTGATACAAGAGAGGCCCTCGCTTGCTTTGGCCTAACGACCTTTCGGTCAGGGAGGACGGAGCGTTTAGGGTTTGACAGAGCGGGGCAGAGCATAGCCGCAAAGGTTGTCGGTCGAGGAGACAGAGCCCCGTTACAGTCGGCCTTGCGACTCTAGAGATTCAAGAATAGCCGACAGGTACAGAGCTGCGTTTTCAACTTTTCATTAAATAATAAAATTGAGTTTCTTTTTCCGTTTCACAATTTGTACTTGTTTTTTTCACCTGAAGAGGTCATTTGGCCTTTCAGGTAATAAGGGCCATTTTTTGGGATGAGTGGTAGGCCCATCGATGATCACTTGTCCCAAAAAATGGCCCTCATTACCGGACAGGCCAAATGCCCTCTTCAGGTCTCTCAAATACAAATTGCGAAACGGGAAAAAAAACTCAGTTTTAACGAAAACGCTCCTCTTTTCAGATGTAAAACCACATGCTTGCCGGTGATGATCAACCGGACTGAGCCCCCAAGAATAGAAAAGGGGGGGGGGGGGGGGGGGTTGTATTGTTTTGTAAAAAAGAAAGAAAGAAAGAAAAGAAAAGAAAACGCAGTTACAGGCACTCTAAGAGCGGATGCACAGCAGTTAGGAAGGACAACGAATTTCGGTGGCAAACATTCACCGCGCGTGAGCTGTACTGAGTCAGCAAGTCTTGTGTCCTTAGCACATAGTCTATTCTGGCACATAGTCTATTCTGGCCTCGTCATAAGCGAAACTAGCTAATGCTGCCAAGATAACTGCGGGTCGAATTGTGAGGCCCCCGGCCTCGATTTTCAATCGATTAATGAATGCTTTTTTTAAGTTTTTTTCAAAAAAAAATGAAAACTTAAAAGATTCATCAGCGATCGCCGATCGTAAGAGTGGAACGCCTTTGACCGTGCAGAGAAGAATATTCAGACAAATATACAAATTTGAAATTTCCCGGCGAAACATATCTCACCGGGAAATTTCAAATTTGTATATTCGTCTGAATATTCTCCTCTGCAAGGAACGGCGGCTTTCACCAATGCTCGTGCACTTGGTAATTGTTCGCAAAACATTTCAGCCTCTTCCCTTCTGTCCCCTCTTGTGAATCAAGAAACAGAACAATCAGAAGGAAAATGTAAACACAATACGGCGAATATGCCTCTTTTCTTTTTTTTGGGGGGGGGAGGGCAGGCACTTGCTCCGTAAGAAACAACAGCGACCATTTTTTTTCTACAGTTCCTAGGAAAATCTGAACGAAGAACAGCGGGACGCTTCCTTTACGCAAAACGTCGCAAAGATTTCACCTTCCGAGTCTGGAATCCGCTCACTTGCAGCAGCAGCGACACCCGCGCCCGGAAAGGGGATCGCGCGCTTGAAGAAAGCGTAAAAAGAATGCTGCGGATATTCTGCTGCGGATATTCTGCTGCGGATATTCTGCTGCTGCTGCTGCTGCTGCTGCTGTGATTGCAACCACAGATGCGTCTTGTTGAAGGAATCGAAAGGAACAGGTGCGTGTTTACTGCAGCTTGCTGACGTAAGAGTCGAGGGCCATCGAAAAGAGCTCACACCTGCAACCAGAAACCATCAATGAGCAAAAGCTTTGCATGTTTGTCTGCCCATCTGTCTGTGTCTTTGTCTCTGTCTCTGTCTCTGTCTCTGTCTCTTTCTTTTTTTTTTTCTTTTTTTTTTTTAAAAACAGGACCTTATGGGCCTGGCTCCTTTTCCATTCTGGGGAGCATCAGTCCGGTTCCTATTCTCCTCCCCTACCACTTGCTTGCTCCCTCACTCACAATCTCCTGTGCTCTTTCACAACTTCTGACGTGATCATCGAACCATCAACTCTCTCTCTCTCTCTCTCTCTCCTCCTTTTGTGTGTGCACCCATCATTGAACTGACCAGCCCCAGGCAATTCAGAATGATTTTAGTCAGTTCATCTGATAGTATGTGGATCCGAACTTGACTTCTTATTTCAACAGTTCAAGGGTGTACTAACTGAGCTAGGCCCGTTGGTAGAGAACAAACTTTTTTTTTCTTCTTCCTCTTTTTTGAAAAATTCGGACCCTTCCTCGATTTATGTGGGTCATCCTTGCACAGGGGCCATGCTAATCTTTTCCTTCTCTGTCTCGTTACAGTTTTGACAGATGTCAAGAAGGACTAGAAAAAGAACAACAAACTGCCGTCTGACGGATATCCCCAAGGACTGAAAATAACAACAAACTGTCCTCTGCTATCCGTGATTGTTTACGTCACAAGAGTCGGAGATTGGCCATGCCTGTGATGTGTTGTCATGCAAGATTGGATGCATGATTTCCTTTGGAATGAAAAAAGAGAAAAAAAAAAGGGTTGATTCATGACAGTACGTAAGTCACGTAACGGATCTGGGACTTGTTTTGCAGACTCCACAATGTTTTTCAAGTCCTGAGGCCCCTGAGGCTGTTTGTTTTTCTTTGTTTGTTTTAGGTCAGAAGAAAATGGTAGACAGCTACTTGTTGCTTCTTGCTGGGAAGGCAGCAAGACTACCCGTCTTCCCCCAAATAGAATGTAAGTATCCAGACTGAAGGTTGTGGCCCAAATGAAGCGATGATGACCATACGTATTACGTTCTATTCCGGCAGCAAAGGCTACTGTCATACCCCCCCAAATAAGCGTAAGTATCGTAAGTATCTAGACTGAAAGTTGCCCCAAATGCAGCTATAATGACCATACGTTCTATTCGGCAGAAGACCGACCAACTGACTGAGCGATGGACAGACAGACGGAACGACCAACCGACCACCTGACCAACCGGGGACAGACAGACCAACCAACAGACCAACTGATAAAATGAACTGATGGAGTCAGATGGACGGACTGACCGACAGAACAACCAGGCAATGGATAGATCAACCAACCGACCCGCCGACTGACCGACAGATGCACCGACCAAATGACTGACTGACAGACGGACCAACAAACCAACCGATGGACGAACAGAACTCACAGATACACACACACACACAGGTCGGTTAGCATGCACAGTGCATAGTCTCTGCTCCGAACACTATGAAGGGATGGTCACTGCCAGCCTCTGTCGTGAAAACTGCGACTCTTTGTCTTTGTGTTCATCCCCCCCACCCCCTAATCGCCTGCCCAATATGCCGTTGTGGCCTTCATCTGCCGTGCTTAAATAGCTGCGAACGTCAACCTGCCTTCCTGCTGACGTGTCCGTAACTTGGGCATACAATTATTGACATGTCAGCAGGAAGCTGTCAAGATGTCATGTGTCATCAATGTTTCCAGGAAGCTGTCATAGAAATAGAAATCATGTGCCTCTACTGTGTGGACTTATCCACGACGCCATCATCCACCACATCCTCTCATAGCATGCCCCACATACAGTTGGGCATACCATTAATGAAAACGCCATCGGATGTCCTTCTTTCTTGCCCGACGAACAGCAAACTCAACAGCCTGAGCAGGAAAATAGAGAACCACATGAGCCGCATATAGAGCACTATGCTGAAGGGCTAACACCGCCAGGACGAACTGGTGCAGACCAAATTCTGCAGCAGCTAGACGCCCTTGTTTTGGACGAACCCCTCTTGCCACAGTCGTCATCGCCAGTCCATAGAGAAGGAATCAATGCAGAGGAAACCCAAACCACTTGCTCAATTCCATTGTGTGATGATCCACCTGAGATTCGGCTAGCATGTGGGCTGCATGCATTGTGTCATGAGGATTATGAAGCCACAGCCCGTGCATCTTTCCGTTTTCATACGTTTGATGACAGTCAATATTGTACTCACGTCCGGCACCCTGACATGTCATGTCCAATTTGGTAGACAGGGGCTCAAACGGCAATGCCTCTACAATTCCGGCCGGCGTGCCTCTGTGTTCCTTGCCTGTGGGAGCCATGTTGCCTGCGATATCTGTCTACGTCATGCCATTCGGTGCAGCAACTGCAACTGCGAGAATTGGATGTGATGCTTCCACAGTCCGCACCCGAATTGGTGCTGTCTGGTCTACAGGCGTGGTCACCTACCATAGGCAACAACTACCATAAGAAACAGCTACTCCTCATCCTGCAACCCGAACACTGATTGACGTCTCATGTCATTCTACAGTCGCCTGCTCCAATGGTCTGTATAGAGAATCTATTGCCAACACTCTCTCTCTCTCTCTCTCTCTCTCTCTCTCTCTCTCTCTCTCTCTCTCTCTCTCTCTCTCTCTCTCTCTCTCACTCACTCTCTCTTTATTTTGTCCTCCTCCCTGTTGTCTACTCCCTCTCCTTGTGTACTACTAGTAAACGCATATGAATGAGCGCCATTGAGAGAACAGACGATATATAATTAGTAATTACCCTTTTTTTTTTTTTTTTTTTCAAAAACAGGGCCATTATGGTCCTGGCTCCTAATCTGCCTCTTTTTAAAACGTGCAAGTGGGCCGTAAAGGCACACGGGGATGTGGGCAGCTGGCGCTCAACCATCATCAATGTGGCCAGCCTTGTACGTGATAGGCACAGTACGAAGGTAACTACAAAAACAAAGAAAATGGGAGGCCTCCCAATGCTAGCTGATGAAAATATAATAAAAAAAACGATATAATTAATTTACTGTGTCTCGTATTGTTTTTACTGCTGGGTTGGCCCATCTCAAGTGTGTTGCATTGCTTGTGTAAAGGTGAGATTCCTTCCTTGTTTAAAGGTAAGGTTCTGAATAGGTATTGACTTCACAAGCAAAACTGTTTCATGGGTGGATTAGCTCATCTTGAGAATGCTTCATTGTCTGCAATACAGGAAAAGTTGCTATGACTTTGGATCTACTCATCTGGGTGGAATAGGGGAAGTTGTGGTGATATTTTATAACACACACACACAC